GCTGTTCATTCACTCTCAGCCAATGCTTCTTCATGTCCCAGCTGATCTATCTAAATGACTGGTAGAAATTGGGTTTTGCACCTGTGTGTCAAGGCTCTTTTTTTTTTTTAATTTTTTAACATTTTTATTATATTCTATTATGTTTTTTATTCTTACATTGTACAAATATAAAGGAGATCATCGATTTGATGTTTGAAATTATTTTAAAATTCACACTAAAATACATTAGGATTAAAATTAATTCTCTTCGATCACCCAGGTGTTTTACTACCTTTCGTGAGTAATCTGTGCCAGTCATTGTGAAAAATACAGATATTTTTAAGAAAGAAATTGAGTTAACAAAAATTTTAACAAGTTTTATTTAACGAAATTCACCCAAAAGGAAATCACAGTACAGAGACAGTTTTAAGTTCAAGGCCTCACCAATTCCTCCAGCATTAGTATTAGTATTGTCTCAACTCTCAAAACTCGTTAAAAATTTAAACTTAACCACAAAGATTTTAAGTGAAAAGATAAACTAGAATGAACCAGAAATATTTCTTTTTGCATCAGGGAGTTTCCAAAAAAGCACATCTCCCCATGTGTTCACTGCAATGGGGTGGCAAAATGTCTGTCCTTATACTAAAACACAGAAAACATCACTCTGAAGTATACTACCGGAAAGCTAATTGAGAAAAGCTGAAAATAGTTTTAGTTTACTCAGTATCACACGATAGAAAAGTCTGCATGAGAAAACACTGAAGAAGTAATTTTTAAATCTGGATTTCACAACTCACGGTGCAACATGGGTCCCACAGTTTTCCTACATCTGCTCTTCCTCGCCTGTTGGCCACCTGTGGAGGTTTGACTGAAAGCGCTCGGAGTTCGCCGGAAGCTAGTCCTTGTACCTGCCCAGGCTGCTCTGTGTGGTCTGCAGCCTGCACCTCTGACACCCGCAGGCCCAGCACCATCTGGCTGCCGTACGCTCCTTTGTTGTTGGCCCCGGTGGCCGAATTCAAGAAGAGCTCGATGTATCTGTGCTGCATGTTGGCCCTGTCTTTGGACATGACGGCCACGGCCTCCTCGTGGGTGGCAAACTCCACGTCTGCCTTGCGGATCACCCGTCCATCCCGACTAATCTCTGTGTGCACTCGCACGAGGTTGAGCCGGGAGAAGAAGTTGTAAATGTCATTCTTTGTGGCTTTGTATGGCAGCCCCCTCGTGCTTGCAGTGCCCCGTGGTGCTGGGCACCGAGAACTCGCGGTCCCAGTACCTGTGATCTTACATCCCCGACAGACAGTAGCTGAGGTCTCTCCCCAGCACCTCGGTGGCGAAGCTATAACAGCCGTCTCTGAGGCTGCGGTACTCCTCGTAGGCGCCGTAGTCTGCGCTGTAGGCACCGGGCGCATCCTCTCCAGGCCGGCCTGCTTCACGATGCTAATGTACCTCCTGGCCATGCCGTGGCAGTCGTAGGGCCCGGCAGCTGCATGGACGTGAACTTCAGAGGGAAGTCCGAGTAGGACCTAACTTCCTCCTGTCAAGGCTCTTTAAAAGCAGAATATAGTCATCACCTCCATTTATGATTTGTCAGCTTTTTGTGTTACATTTAGGAATCCAATGGAAGATAGCAGAGTAACTTGTCCTTATCTTTGGATTTACCAGTTAAGTTTTTGAGAGAGTTCACCACTATGATTAGGTTTGTCTGATTTTTTAGTTCTCAAACCAAGATCCAGATCCCATCTTAAATGATTCTGATCCAAAGGTTTAGGGTAGAGTCCAGGAGTCTGAATTTTTGAAGCTCTGAAACAAAATATAATGGTTTCTTGGCCACTACCTCCATCTTCTTTTAGGAAGTAACCACTTAGATTCTTTTAATGTTCTTATCTTGCATTTACATCTCCATAATTTTCCACTGCTATTAAGATAAGTTACAAAGTGTTAGGGACCTTCTAACCCATATCTCAGGTTGGCTCTGGTGTTTCACATTTGATATGAAACATTTATTAACTCCCCACTATGTGAGAAATCTTTACTGATCATTGTCCACTTCTTAGCACCCAATGAAGTAGGTATTTCCATGGGTCACAGGCTTATGATGGGATAGATGTGGGATTAGAATCTAATCCAGTTTGACTGAAAACTTAGTTCTTGTCCCAGGAAAGCACAGTGCAGAATTCTGGTAGAGTCCAGGTTCCCTATCCTCAAAGAGCTTCCTATTGGGTGGGGGTGGGGGGGGAAAGGGTAGGAAATAGGGAGACGTTTTAGGAGGAATTCAGCAAGTACAACTCATTCCACTATGTGTTTATTGAGTACTTCCTCTACTCCGGGCACTGGAAACACCATATAAATGGTTATTTTTCCCTTCCTTCTGCTTCTTCTCCCCCACATTCTTGCTTTAGGGAAGGTGGAATGAGCAAATGTGGGTAAGACATTGAAGAATTGCTCATGAAAAGACTTGGGCACCTAACCTGAGGACCACATGAGACAGTAAAACTCATATGACACCATCCATGCTGGAAAGCTTCCAGTTACCACTAGTCGATAATGAACCAACCAAAGATTGTCAAATGTACTTGAACAACAAATGGAAAGCTTTTCCCAGCTCCATTTCCAAAAATCCCATCTTAATAGAAAAATCCTATCCCCTCCAAACACTCATCAATCAAAGACCTTCTTAGGGGTCTCTCCTTTATCTCTATAAAACAAACACTCCTCTCAAACTCTTTCTAGTCTCTTTTGGAAGGGATGTGATAGCAGCCAACTCCCTGAACATACTAATGTCTGAATAAACAGTTTTTGATTAATTCTATACGTGGTTTTCCTACTTCTGGCAACATGTTCAAAGCTCTCACCAATGTTACATATTCACTCTCAAATATTAACAAGAGTCTCTGCTCCAACCTGGCTAGATGGCAGACCCAGTAGGGGTAATGATGAACAAGGTGGAAACTCAAATCCACTCCTGCCAAGAGGAGGGGGTTGAAAAGAGTGGCTAGCTTTGGGAAATCTGATCCCAAGCTGCATGACCTGGGCCAGTTACACGACCTTTGAATCATGAAAGAAGCCATGAGTTCTAACTGATATAAGTGAATAAAAGACTAAAGAAATTGGTTAGGCGAGTGGTGGTGTTTGCCCCTAGTCCCAGCTACTTAGAAGGCTGACTTTAAGATTGCTTGAGTCCAGTTCAAGGCTGCAATAAACTATGATTACAGCACTGAGTGCACTGCAGCCTGGGTGATAGAGTAAGTAACCTATCTCTGGGGAAAAGAAAGTAAAAAAATAAGAATAAAAAAAATGGGGAGTAAATGAGAAGGTGAAGCTCTTTCAGAGCAGAATACAGACTAACAAATGTAGAAAGGTGATGCAGACAATCAACATTTTGTAAGGGATGCTAAATCTCATGGGGAAAATGTTGACTAAAAATGGGCTATAAAGCAATGTATCTGTATCTGTTAAGAATGGAAAATGGGCCAACATGTAAATAATTGGTGAATCTGCATAAAGGACATTTAGAGATTTTGGGGTAATACTGCAACTTTTCTGTAAATATGAAATTATATTAAAATTAAAAATTAAAAAAAAAGAGGAAAGGAAGGATACCAGTAGTAATAGCTGTCTACTTATGTTATAGTTGTACCTTTTCTTCATGATCATATACTCAGGAATGAATAAAGTTAAATAAAAGTCTAAAACAGTTTTCGTTGGGGTTGGGGATAGAAAAATTTTAATCTCATCTTTACTCATTACCAGATCTGTGATGTTTGGCAAGTTACTTAATCTCTTTGTGCCTCACTTTCCTCTTCTGTAAAATGGTTATTTTTATACTTGTGCCTACGTAAAAGGTTGCTACCAGATAAAATTGCAGATGAGAATGAAGCTTGTGAATCGACCATTATTTTGTGTTATCAATAAACGATTTCTCTTGAAAAAGAAAAGGTTGCTCTGAAGGTTAAATGACTTTGTATTTGTCAGAGTTTAGCACACACCAAGTATGTTTATTATTACTGTTTTTGTATTACATGTACAGTGCTTAGAATCACGTAAGGTCCAAATAAATATCTGCTCTTATTGTGATTACTGGGCTGAAAATCTGTCAACAGTTTTGTATTGATCTGAGGTTAAGGGTAAAACACCCCCCGCCCCCAACTCACTAAGGGATAGAGGTTTTATGGAGCTCACCTAGGGTGACCAGATTTTAACATCGGTAAGGCGGGACAACATGGCGGGGGTGGGGGTGTGGGGGTGTGGGAGCAGGGCAGGGGAGGGGGCAAGGCAGGGCCTGACAACAATGCAAACTTTGATAAGCAGTTCTCCATAATCACTTCTCAGCAATTATTTGTTATTATTACAATTTAACATTATAAAATTAACAAAAATAATACAAAACTCATATTCTGGCGAAATAGCCACATGGCAGCCGAAAAACTGTATATTCCCTTCTTGTTCTCCCGCCCATTTGTGCATACTTTCCAAAAATCAGGACTTTAACGCCGGGGGCCGCGGGCCAAATTGTTCAAAAGCGGAACTGTCCCGCCAAAAGCGGGACGTCTGGTCACCCTAAGCTCACCAGACCCTCCTGACCCCCTGGACTGAAGTGGCCCCCTTCCTGTTGCCTTATTCCTTCCAGTTTCAGCTCCAACACCACTTCCCCAAGGTCAGCCCCGTGGTCTCTGTCGCGTGGCGTCAGCTCTGTGAGCCTGCTCTTCCAGCACTGCTACAACGTGGAATAGATTATCCTCTCTGCTGTCAGTCCTGCGGGACAGGTTAGCCCCAAGAGCGCGGGGCTGCGGGCGAGTTTCTGCTCACACTCCTAACCCGGGCACAGCACTGGACAACCCCCCAGGCCGCCGCGAAACGTGAAGCCAGTGCGAGGCACGGCTCCGAAGGCCTCGCGGTCAGGAAGCACACGCGTCCCGGGGTCGGCGGTCCGGGTGCAGGGGAGGTCCGGGCCCGCCTCTTTCTCCTCCTCCTCGTTCTCCTCCTCCCACTCCTCCTCCTCTGCCCCCAGTCGGCTCGCTCCGTCTCGCGGCGCTGGGTTTCCTGGTTAAGATGGCGTCCCCCGTAGCAGCACAGGCCAGGAGGCTTCTGCGAGACGTGGCTCTCAGGCCCGCGTTCCTGGCCGCCCGGTCCCAGGTGAGCGCGGTCCGGGCTCCGTCCGCCCTCCAGCTTCCCTCCTGGTCCCCGTGCGCCGCCGCTCTGCACCCGACAGCCGGGGTGACGCGCGGTGCTGCGCCGGGGCTCAAGAGGGACCCCCCGCCCGGGTGTGGGGCCCAGGGCTGTGGGGTGGGGGACGGCAGCCTAGGCGCCCCAGAGTGTGAACGACCCAGCTCCGGGAGTCGCTGCCGTCGGTCCCCTAGTTCACGCCGCAGGCGTCTGGCCCTGTACCAGGCACCGAATGCAAGTTTAAGGAAAGTTTCTCCGTCCGGTCTTAGGCTCCCGAAGTTTTCCTGGCAGTTTTGCTAGTTCTGCCTTTGAAACGACTTTGACCCTCCACACATTATTTTCGGCCACGTGATAAACATGCCTGGAAACTCAGCCCATCCCAGGGAGTATTAGTGAGTGAACTTTCTGCAGACTGTTTTTGCAGACTTTAAGGTTCCTGAAGGAGACAAATTTTTCAGGGAAAAATCGGTCCCGTCACTAAAACACGGTCTTCGTTGGCCTTTGCCCATGCTTTCCTTGTTTATGAAGAATAAAACCGAGGAGGGGTAATGGTGGACACCGAATAGCTATTGGAACTTGGCCTCTAGTAGATTTTACTTTTTTACGGAGGGCAAGCGTTACAGTAGAGTTAGTAATGCCTAGGACTTACTTCCCAACAACTGGACTTGTTAGTCCCTATAGGTGATCTCTGGTTTTAAAGAAAGGACAATCTGGGGTTCAGTCACAGTAGACCTTGCCTATTTCCCCAATTTATTTTTTTTATTTTTTGAGACAGAGCCTCAAGCTGCCCTCCTGGGTAGAGTGCTGTGGCATCACAGCTCACAGCAACCTCCAACTCCTGGGCTCAAGTGAGTCTCCCGCCTCAGCCTCCCTGGTAGCTGGGACCACAGGCGCCCGCCACAACGCCTGGCTATTTTTTGGTTGCAGCCGTCATTGTTGTTTGGCGGGCCGGGCTGGATTTGAACCCGCCAACTTAGGTGTATGTGGCTGGCGCCTTAGCCACTTGAGCCATAGGCGCCAAGCCTATTTCCCCATTTTTAATTGATGAAAGGCAAATTATCACTCCTGAAGTTTTAAGCATGATATGCACAGGATACTTTTTTAGAAAATTTAAAAAAAGCTATAAATCGATTTTTGAGTTAGACTAAGTTTTCATGAATTAAGACATCTGTGAGGGTTTTATTCCTCATTTCCTGACTTCCCATTTCTCTGTTATTGTTAATGTGAATTTAAAAGGTGCTAATACTTATTACTGTAATACCCTTAGTAGGCGCTTAACAGTATGGTGAGCTAGCAAAGGGAATGGTAGTTTGTCTAATTAAAGATCACTAATAACTGTTTTAATAGAGTAAGGAGAGTACCTTCAGGTGATCTAGTCCTATTCATTATTTAAGTGCTACAAGTAAACAAGAACTAGGGGCTAACTAGGAGTGTAGACTTGAATTGATGAGAAACATGGGGCCTAGGACAGTGAAAATGCAAGAAAAGAAAAGAATTGTACAGAGAAACCTAAAATGCAGAGTGTGAGCTGTAGTATGTAAAGAGGTCTTGCCTAATAAAGAAATAGGAGCTTAAACAGGACACTCAAGATAATGAGGTTGGGGATAGATACCCACCATATGCAGGAAGATAAAGTAGAAATCTGTGTTGGGCCTCACTCCATTTGGTTGCTGTGATTTACATACTCGTGGATGATGTAGTATGCTGTGAACACAAGGCTTAGAAGATGAAAATAGTGTTTTAAAAGATTGGAATCATAGTGTCCAAGAACTGGAAATAGACATTAGCAAGTATTGAGTCCAACCAGCTCATTTCACAGGTAGAGAAATTGAGGCCTCAAGAAGTTCAATGACTTATTCACGGTAACAGTGGGAGTTTGTGGCAGAGCAGATTCCAGAGTAAAGTTTTTTCTTTAAATTTCCATTATACTGGCCAGGTGAGTACAGGTTTCTGTCGGAAAACATATTATGGCACGTGCAAATGAATCTGCATACCAGTAGTAACTAGATAACATCCATGTCACTAGCCCTATGGATACCTTTTTTATAAACATCTTAGAATTGGCAATAAAAATAGGTGAGTATTGTTGCTGACTTGTAAGAAACTTTTTTTTTTTTTTCAGTTTTTTTTTTCTTTTGTCCGGGGCTTGGTTTAAACCTGTCACCTCCAGCATATAGGGCCAGTGCCTACTTTGAGCCACAGGCACTGCCCTGTAAGAAACTTTTATTCAAATTCTTGGGTGCTTCTTGGTGTCTGCTTCGTGTGAGTCTGAATTGATACTTTGCCAACCTAGGCAAGGTAGACATTATAATTGAACATGGCCCACTTTTTCCATCAAACTTAAAGAGTCTTCAACAAATGTCTCAGAAATCTGTTGCAACTCTTGGCCCAGACCTACTTTAGACCAGGCCTTGTGGAAAACTGTTGGGTATATAGCAATAAGAGACCCAGTTTCCGCTTTGAGAAGTGACTTTGGTCCCACAGAGGTACCCATAGAATGACATTTTATCTACCTGCTCTGTGTGGTTAAATTTAACATTTAACATATATTACTGATGCTTAATGTTACTGAAAGTTTTCTATTTTATGTTTTGTTTTGAACTCTGCTCTTAGCTTCACTTTTTGACTTTTGATTTATATCCTTAAAGGATATCCTTTAGCTGTTTCTTATTTTTACATATTTTTTTATTCAGCCTATACCATCTAACAGGACCGTTCTAGACCCTGGGGTTTGGGAATAGTGAAGGAGGCAGGTAGAGATCTTGGCCATGTGATATTATATATAGGCTGAGACTATATGTAGGCAATAATGATGATTTCAGCCAGTGACAGATATTGTGAAAATGAAACAGGTGACCAGGTGTGGTGGCTCACGTCTATAATCCTTGCACTGTGGGAGGCCCAGGTGGGTGGATTGCTTGAGCTCAGGAGTTCCAGACTAGCCTGGGCAAGAGTGAGACCCCATCTTTACTAAAAAAGAAAAAGAAAAACTGAGGCAAGACGATTGCTTGAGCCCAAGAGCTTGAGGTTGCTATGAGCTATGACGCCACAACACTCTACTCAGGGTGCCAGACTGAGACTATCTCAAAAAGAAAACAAAACAAAACAGGTTTATAAAATAAGAGAATGAATATCTTAGCAGGAAGGTGGGATGATCAGAGAAAACCTATTTGACATGGTTTTTTTGGTTTTTTTTTTGCTTTGGTTTAAGGTTCTTAATCGAACTATGCTTACTGAAAAATGTGCAGTTCTTAATGAACAGCTCGATGAATTATCATAAACTGAACATGCACTGAGGTGACCAGATACAGAAACTCATCATTCCACAGCAACCCAGAGGCTCTCTGGTGTTCTTTCCCATCACTCTTCCACCCTGCAAAGGGTAACCCCCTTGACTTATATTAATAATATCATACATTGGTTTTATTCCTTTTCCCCCTTTATATAAATGGAGTTATACTATATGCACATGCATACTCAATGTTACATTTATGAGATCTTGAAGGTGATTTTTTGACATGTGAGCTGAGATGTGAGTGATGAAAAGCAGCCAGCCAAGTGTGACTTGAGGAACGATGGATAGGCAGAGTAGATGGCATGTGTAAAGGGCCTGTGGTGGGAGTGAGCTGGGCATGTCTAGGCAGGACAGGGAAACACTGGCGGTAGACATGGTCCAAGAGGTGGACAGGAGCCAAATCACTTGGAGGCCTAGACCTTCAGGGTCTGGTAAGGAGCTTTTAAAGGCTTAGACTGCTGTTAAGTGACATGCCTCAGGTTATACAGTTAGTAAAAGGCATCTGGGTCTGAATTCCCAGTCCTAGCTGCTGAAGCCCAGGAATGTAATTAGTGTGCTATACATACTCCCTATTATAAATCTAGGCTCTACTGGCTTTGAAACTTTTAAGGGAGTGTTGTTCAGTGAACTTAGTACTCCAGTAAAAGCCTAGCCATTGTCTGAAATCTTTGCAAAGACCCATATCCTGGGAGATAGGGCCCATATTGCTGCGTCCAGAGAGTTAGCCAGGTGAGCAGGGTGCTGTGGTGCTTGGAGACCAAGGCTGCTGCCATGATGGGCACAGAGGTGGACACATACTGTGGATCTAAAAGGAAATATTGGCTGAGAGCATGGAGTAGAATTCTACACACACCATTGTTGCTTTTTAGGACATTTCCACTCTCCCAGTTGGAAGAGCTGTTTAGTTGTCAGAGGAGCACTTCCTCTGAGGCCCCCAACTTCAGAATCATTGTGTGGTTTTCTACGAAGCTCAGAACTTCTGTCCAGGAACTCAGAGAGGAAAGTGTATTGTCAAAGGAAACTGCTGAAACCGATGCCCCTGGTGTCGTACACTTCAAAAAGAATGGCCCTAGCTTAATTTTCTGCTCTTTCCGGAAGTGGGAGGAGAATGATGGATGCCAGGCTTTTGGAAGTGAAGGGCTAAAGGTTATGTGCAAGTTCTTATCAGCTAAATGAGGCTGCGGAGGCTGCATTAGAAGTTGTGACTTACCTATAGCTGCCTTCTTGCCTAGGAGAATAAATACCAGGCTGGCTTGCTTCTTTCTTTCTTTCTTTTCTTTCTTTTCTTTCTTTTCTTTCTTTTCTTTCTTTCTTTTCTTTCTTTTCTTTCTTTTCTTTCTTTTCTTTCTTTTCTTTCTTTCTTTCTTTCTTTTCTTTCTTTCTTTCTTTTCTTTCTTTCTTTCCTTTCTTTCTTTCTTTCTTTCTTTCTTTCTTTCTTTCTTTCTTTCTTTCTTTCTTTCTTCTTTTTTTTTAGATGAAATACAGCTGCAATTTCTGCTGTTAGAAAAGGAATCCATCTCAAATAATTTAGATACTAAACTATTGACCTCCTGGGTGGGGAAGACCTTTTAAGTGATAGCTTGTGTCCCCAAATTGGTTTTGTTTAGTGTAAATGAAGTATTCCTTTTAGGGGTAAGTGATTGAGTACACAGACCCACAGCAGTGAGAACTTTGC